AGAGAGAAATATAGAGGGTGCTTTATGACTCTAGCTTGGGGTCCAGAGGGCAAAGTCTGAACAGAAAAATCTTCAGATGTCCTAGCCAGTGAAAGGGGTTGCTCATAGGTCCTCAAATTAGTTCTAAAAATCAGAATGTCAAACAAAAAATCTTGAACTCAATTCAAAATGCCACATCACTTCGATCTCAAGAGTAGAAAAGGACAAAACAGAAAAAAAAAATGAAAACTACATCTCAATACCTCTGACGAATACACATACTAAAAAATCAACAAAATATTATCAAATCAAATCCAGTAGCACATTAAAATGATTATACAATATGATCAACTAGACTTTATCCATGAATGCAAAGATGATTTACATATTCAAAACAATAAATGTAATTCACCAAATTAAAAGGAGAAAAGAAAAATTATCATATCAATTGATGCAGAAAATTATTTGATAAAATACAATACCCCCTCATAATTAAGACTTTCAATACAAATAGGTATAGAAGTTCCATTTCTTAACATAATAAAAGCCATATATGACAAACCCATTCTAACATCACACTGAAAGGGTAAATGCTGAACTCTCCCACTAAAATGTAGAAATAGTCCAAGATATCCACTATCTCTCCTTTTTATAACATAGTTAGGGAACTACTTGCCAAGACAATCAGACAAAAGAGTGAAACAAAAGGTATTCAAATAGTAAATGATGGAGTTAAATTGTCCTTTCTGCAGATGACATGATTATGTACATATAAAAGTATTAACATCCATGAAAAACTTCATTTGAATGATCAATTAATTTGGAAAAGTTGTAAGATACAAAATTAATTTTAAAAAATTCATGGCTACCAGAGCCAGAAGGTGATATGCTATTTAAGGTGCTGAACTCCCACATGACTCAGTGTGGTTTGAGTTCTGCACCTGATAGCTTGAAAATCACACTGTGTGTTTGTATACATTTCCGAAATCCAAGTAGGAGAATTACCCCTGGGGGGTAATTTCTCACTTTCTCTCTACTGTCTCTCTGTGTCTCTCTATGGTGAGTATAAATGCTCTATGGCAAAAAAAAAGAAACTAAAAATAGCTATTTTACTTACCAAAAATAAATGAACTAAGACAGTGTTTAAGAAAGTGATCCTATTTATAATTTCCAAAAGAGATAAAAGATGTGTATAATGAAATTTAGGAAAGAGATGAAAGATATGTATAATGAAATATAGAAATACCTAAAGAAAAAAATGGAAAAGATACCAAAAAGTTGAAAGACATTTGTGTTCTTGGATAGTATATATCTATATTGTTAAAATGCTGATACTATCCATAATTTAAAAAAATGGATTAAATATCTAAACATAACGCTTCATGCTATAAAACTACTTATGGAAAATACAGGGTAAACATTTGAATGTTGGAATAAACAGATTACTTAAGTAACAGTCCTAAAGCACACACACACACACACAACTAGGAATCCAATTGTAAATGGACAATTGATCTAAACAATCTCAAAGAAAGACATGCGAATTACCACAAAGCATATAAAAAAGTGTTCAACAGCTATATCATAAGGAAAATACAAATTAAATCCACAATACAAACCACAATATAGTCAAAATGGCTATAATAAAAAATCTACAGAACAAGTACTGGCAGGGCAATGGTGAAAAGGGAACCCTCATGCACCATTGGTGAGAATGTCTGTGTATTTCATGAAAAAAGTGCGACAGGAGAGAATAACGGGCATTTTGTTGGTGATGGAGGTCAGACTGTCATGATGGTTCATTGAGAGAGTGACTACTATAGTCTCTCACTTTCAACAATATTAAGTAGAAATAGTAGAACATGAGGATAGTAATATAAAATATAGGTAGGTAGAAATATATTTTATTTTATTTCATGTCATACATATATGTACATATATATAACCTACTACTTAATTATCATTTCTTAAAGCAATTAACTATTAATAAAGCAGTGGAATTTTTTTTTTTTTTACAGGTTCATGAAACAATTTATTCACCCCCAAGCTGGCATGTTTCTACAGAAAGCCATTTTTTTCTTCTGTGTTGTTTACCTTCTTTTCCATTCATGTTCCTTCTTTTCAGGTCATTCAGTCTTCTGCCCAGTGTTTTTGGCCTTTGAAGCTCTCTTTTTAGACAAAACAGGTTCTTTAGTATTCTCTTGTCCTAAATATACATCCATCTTCTTAGAAACTGGGAATTCAGAACTTATTATAAAACAACTATCCTCTACCAATTTGATATCGCATTCATCATCAGGCTCAAGATTCATTGCTTCATCTGTTACTGGCTCTTCAATAGGAGAAATGGATCCATCATCATCCAAATATTTGTATCTATGACTATCAAGATCTTCTTTTTCTAAATCTTCACCAACATTCATTTTATTCAAGGATTCCTTAAGGTGGTGTTCATATTTCAGCTTTTCAATGTAGTTAAAAAATCCTCTGGCAACAGCTTGCTCAAAAGTTAAAATTTTCCTCCATGGTAATGGGTTTCTTCTGTTCTCTGATTCTGTAAACTTATGGCCTTTGCCTCTAACTTGTTTCTTGTCTATCTGTGACCGTCTAGTATTTTTACTTCCTTTTGGTCTTCCTGTTGG